GTTATCCACAATTTGTTATGATTCACACAATCAAATGCCTTTACATAGTCAATAAAACACAAGTAAACATCTTTCTGGTGTTCTTTGCCTTGAGCCACCTGCCACAGATATAGTCAATCTGATTCCTGTGTACTCCATCTGGCAAAGTCCACCTGTATAGCCATCATTCATGTTGCTGAAAAAAGGTATTTGCAATGAATAAGTCATTGGTCGTGAAAAATTCTATCATGTGATCTCCAGTGTAATTTCTATCACCAAGGTCATATTTTCCCAATTACCAATGATTCTTCTTTGTTTCCAACTTTTGCATTCCAATCACCCAGTAATAATCAACACATTTTAATTGCATGTTTGGTCAATTTCAGACTGCAGAAGTTGGTAAAATCTTCAATTTCCTCATCTTTGGCTTTGGTGACTAGTGCATAAATATGAATAATTGTAGTATTAATTGGTCTTCCTTATAGGCTTATGGATATTTGCCAATCATTGACAGCATGTACTTCAGGATAGATATTGAAATATTCTTTGTGACAATGAATGCCATGCTATTCCTCTTCAATTTGTTTTTCCTGGCATAGTAGATCATATGATTGTCTGATTCAAAATGTCCAAAACCAGTCCATTTTAGCTCACTAATGCCTAGAATATCAATCTTTATATGCTCCATTTCAATTTTGACAACTTCCAGTTTTCCTAGATTTATACTTTGTACATTCCAAATTCCAATTATTAATGGATGTTTACAGCTGTTCCTTCTCATTTTGAGTCATGCCACATCTGAAATTGGAGCTCCTGAAAGCTTTACTCCATCCATATCATTAAGGTCAACTCTACTCTGAGGAGGCATCCCTTTCCCAGTCGTATTTTGAGTGCCTTCTGACCTGAGGGCTTCATCTTCCAGCACTATATCAAACAGTGTTCAGGGCTATTCACAATGTTTTCCAGTAACATATCAGTGTTTCATTGCTATCCATAAAGTTTTCACTGGTCAATTTTTTGAGAATTGGATGGCCCTTCCTTCTTCTGAGTCTGTTTTAGTCTGGAAGCTCCACTGAAACCTGTCCACCATGAGT